AAAAAAAAGTATTTGGAATGTTAGCAAACTTAAACCAGTGGGCATTTCTTTCACATAGACTGAAAATAGGTATCTGTTTCCTTGACAAGTATTGCCTACTGTCCTGCCCCTGATTTAGGGCTGCAAACAAGGTAAAAATTGTGGGTATGGAAAGGAAAGTTCATACAAAGCCAATGGAAACAAAGTGTTTGCCACGTCATAGGTGCAAGGGTTTCTGAGTTCGACTTTAGACAGACTGATGTGGATGATTTAGGGCTTCCTGGGCGTAATCGAAGTTGACAGAGATGACTGTGGAAGTGTGAAGCTGCACGGCGGAGGAATGCCGTCACAGTACCAAGTGAGGGCAAAGCAGATGTAAAATTATGAAAATAGGAGAGTTTAAAAGGGAAATTGTACCAAAGGTAGTCTGTTGTAGTACAGGGAGGATAAGGAATAAGTGGAAGAGACAGAAGTATCTTTAAGAGCAAATAAGAATAATTTATTGGTGGTGGGAAAAGCAATGAATTTTTTTGCTAGCTAGTCTGAAGGGAGTATGTCAACAGATGCCTAGAACCAACATAAATTTCCCTGGGGAAGAAAAACTGGAAAAAAGAAAACAAAAACCATGAAGATTGCTTTATAGCAGGTGATCCAAAAATGAGTGCAGTTGATGAGAAACGCAAGTTCACAGTCAGTTGGGAACTGCGGGTTTAATTGTAGCAGTGGAGTGGCCACATGAAGCGATTGTCTGGAACGTTGTGCTATAGTTGAAGAGTAGAGGTTTCTTTCAGTGTATCTGACTGGCTTGGAGATAAAAGGGAAATAGAGAAACATTGAGTTTTAAAGGGAGAAAAGATCTTTGCAATAATTTTTTAGATGAAGAAACTGAGACCTGACCAAAGAAGATAAGTGATTTGCGCAAGGTCCCGGAATCAGCTAATGACAGAGTTGGGAACTCTATTCCCATTGGTAAAGAAGGGGCAGGACAGTAGACGATGCTTGCCAAGGAAACAGCTACCTATTTTCAGGCTATGTGAAAGAAATCTCCACTGGTTTAAGTTTGCTAACATTCCAAACGCGTTTTCCCCCCCAGGGTACAGGATGATAACGTTCATTTTTGTGTGTGTGTGTTTTTTAATCACTCTCACAAAGTCCTACTCAGAACTCAGGAGTAATGTGTATTGCTCCTATCATTTGAAGCTTCGTTGAACATTTGCTCTATAAAATTTCTTAGGTTCAGCATTAAACATGGCCTTTATCTCAGCAGATTAGAAGTGAATTAAGAACTGGTGTAAAGGAAGGTCCTCTTAGGAACAAAACTCCTAAAAGGAGAGGACAAAGTAAAACTCAGGGATTTGTGTAAGAATTCATTGGTAATGTGAAAAATTTTGCAGAAGAGGCAGAACTATAATTGGTAAGATAGGAAAAAAGAGACTAGGAATAGTCATTATCTTCATTATTATTATCAAACGATTATATGGCATTTCATCTTCAAAACCTTTGCAAACTTTAATTAAGTGTCAAAGGTAGTTAAAATCTAAACTGCATGGATAGTCTGGAAAAGTTGAGTGTTGAAGTTTGGTGACATGGAGGAAATATTAATACATTGGAATTCTTCTATTCTGAAACATTGCTGGAATTTGCTCTATTCTAGAGCAACCCTCTTTCCTTATACATTAATTTTTTTAAAAACCTATTATGATATACTTCCTGCTATAGCCGTTGACTCTCTATCGTTGTAGATGGTGAAATAGACAACATATGATAAATGCTGACTTACTGGATCAACAGAAAGAAACATTTGGTATTTTTGGGGAGTTCACCTTTAAATGCAACATTTAAAAATGAATAGATCGCCAGTATAAATTACAGTGGACTCTTTTTTCCCCTCTTGAGATTGTCATGGCTATGATGTAAGAGCACATTTTGGCTTTTTAAAAGATATTATGTCAATGCAATGCTTGCAGTATTTTATTCTTTATGATTTAAATCCATGTATCAAAATTAAAATATAGGAAAGGAGCAAAAAACCACTTGAATACTCTACACCTAAGAATAAATTAGGCTTAAAAATCAGAATCATTATGGCAGACATGTCTTTTTCATTTAAAGATTTCTTTATTCATTCATGTATAAACAAAATATTTACCTCCTGCCTCTTAAGGACAGAGTGATACAATATTCTTCTAGGGCTGGGATTTTTTCTTTCCACGTAGCACCTGTGTTTTCTGGAGTAGTTCAGCAATGGAAGAAATGACACTTTCATTGATGTAATGAGGCATCATTAACCAGAAGCCTTTTGTAAGGGTGTAATTTCAAACTTCATTACAGACTAAGGCAGCCACACTACCCATTATTCAGGAAAACGTGCTTCTGTTGTGTCCCTCCAATGGACCTTACATTTTTAATGAGTCTTGTTAGAATATTTATGAAACAGCATCACCAGTAGAGGGCATCTGTCTTTCAAACATGGTGGGTCACAAGGCTATTAGCTGACAGGGTTCTCTGCCCTCACTTTATTGTTTTAATTTCTCTTTTTTTAAAATGTAATAATTTTTATTTCAAAATATTAAGGAGGTACAAGTGTTTTTGTAATATGGATGAGTTGTATAATGCTGCAGCCAGGGCTTTTAGGGTGCCCGTCACCAGAGTAGTGTACATTGTGCTTTTCAATTGGAAAAGTTAAAGGTACATGTTATAATCTGAAATTATTTCTAATTTAGACCTTATCATTAGCAAGGTGCAGAAGATGTATGTGCTTACGTCTCAGGAGTTTTGATTTTTTTATCATCACAGTAAAGTCCGATTATGAAGGTAACCAGCTAAATCCCACAGTAGATGAGAATGAACATACAGTATTGGTGCTTCCTTTTATGTGTCTACTCTCGAGAAAGTGTGTGTTTGTCTAAGTCAGGCCTCATCCTTGCTAGTAGGTTTGGCCTTTCAAAAGTTGATATCCTGACTTCCTAATAAAAATACTTCACATAGTAAAATTTAGTTCTGCCCACAAACTATGCAGGGATTTTGTTCAGAGTGGATACTGTAGTCTAAAAGACTCCAGGATTAGAAGTAGGACACCTGGCTTTTGCGTCTGATCCTGGGCCCAGCAATCCAGGTGTGACTTCCTGTAGCGAGGTAGATGCTACCCTGCCAACGTGACCCCTCCCCGTTGGCTGTCTCATCCTAACCCTGACCTCTGAGCCCTGGGAATGTCCAGAACTGCCCAGGCCAGGGGGTTTCTGACTGTCACATGATACACGGAAAGGCTTCTAAGTGTAGGTTCCAGCCACAAAAATGTGTGTATGTATACCTGCACACACGTGCATGCACACATGTATCCATGTGGCATTTTCAAATGGGAGTATTTGTTTCAAAGAATGATTAAAAATTGTGATAAAAATACATTTTATCATTTTTTTCAGATATTTCTAATATTAAGGTTCATAGCAGTATATGTTTAATTTTAATTTACTCAGTACACGCTATGAGAGAGGGAACTACATTCTTAAATCTGTGAAAAATACCGTGACTGTTTCCTGTTAATCTTCAAATAATAGCCTATTAGAAATGAAAACTTCAGTGAGGAAATACACATACATCAAAGGCTTGGAGTATGTTACAGATAATTTTTTACTTAACACAATTCCCCTTTAGTTTCTTCCTCATAAGATGCTGTTCTTTTAACTTCAATTTCCTTTACGTTATCTTTGTTTAAGTTCTATGTGAAATGAACATTTGTCACCTGTCGCTAATTCGCGCTTATAAGCCAGCTCAGATATCCACCCCACAGTCTGTACTAAATGCTGTAACAGAGGAACCAATAGACATCTGTTCTGAGAGAGAATGTTCTCAGAGAGAGAATGGCCCAAACGTGTCTGTTCTTTCCGCTTTTGTCCTGAAGCAGCTACGCTCATACATTGTCAGTACTTGGGTGAGTCCCTAGCAATTCTCTGCTGCTCTCTCCACCCTGGGAGACACACACTCTGTAGCAGCTTCCTGAAGAGCTTACGTAAGTTATAAGTTGACTATTCAAATAACAGGTGTTTGGTTTTTGCAAGGAATACTCACCGCTTCACAGCATCACTGCAATGCATTTGAGACAGTATTTACACATGAATTAAGTACTCGCTGCCCCTCTTCTCCCCCAGCACTGCACCTCGCTATTAAAAAACCTTGATGCAGCAGAAGTCCAAAACTTCTGCAGGCTCAGCGTGGTCCATGCAGGGGTTTTATTAGGTCCATACAGTGCTTTAAAATTTGGAAATGGTTGTCAATACTTGAAACTTGGAAGAGTTCGTTTTAAAAATCCAGGTTTAGGGATTATCTGTTTTTAAGAATGAGAAGATTTGGTAACACTGACCTGTGATCTCACAGGGCAGGTGCCTACACTCCCAGTCCTTCCCCTGTCTCCCTTCCTCTCCTTTACAGTCCTTGTCTGGCACCTGGCCACATCGGTATCCAGCCCTCATTCCCCTTTCAACATGTGACAGCCATGGGCAGAATGGTGTGCGCTTACTCGGCTGCCAACGTGTTATGCCACTTTATTTAACCTTTTATAGTTCTGGTATTCCATCTTAAAAAATGGGAATTTTTTCTGGCACCTGTTGTTGAGGAAAACTTTTGACAATTAATGTGAATTATTAGGATCATTTCAAAGTAAAATCATTTCTTGCTATTTTTACTAGCACATTTTTAAAAAATGATATTGTTTCGTAGGTTACGATTGGCTCTATAGCAGATACCACTGTTTCTTTAGCCAAAACTTAAGTATATTTTAAAGGAGTTTTTATTTGCCACATGTCTTTTTCTTAGAAAATTTTAAGTCAGAATTCTGAAAATAACGTATATGTACATATTTAATATACACTTATGTATGTCACACCTACTTATGGACATATTAATCCAGTTATATACATTTTTAACTTTCAGTGATGATAATAAATTTTCTGCTTCTCAAATAAGTTTTACAAGCAAGTTTGGGATGAACCATAAACAAGGCACTGTGTATGTGGGTGTTAACTTTAGATGAATGGTTTTTCTTTTCAGAATACGGCAGGAGAATGATATGGTTGATTCAGCGCCTCAGTGGGAAGCTGTATTGAGGAGACAAAAGGAAAAAAATCAAGCAGACCCCAACAACAGGCGATCCAGACACAGATCCCGCTCGTACGTGGACTCTCTTTATACCTCGATTCAAAAACAATGCGCTTTAAGTAGCAAGTGGCTGCTTGGGTGTTCTAAAGTGGTTTAGCTCAACCATGATTATCCTGTTGTTTTTCATATTTACCTTCTTATATTTGTGACATTCATTAACTATATTTGGAGCTGTAGAAGTTGGAGCACAGCCAAAATGAAATGTTATGAAAACAAGGCTGTCAGAAGCATATTTTTGTTTTGTTTTGTGCTGCTTTTAAACAGAAGCATACATTCCACTGAGTAAATAGGAATGGTCTCCTTTTCATGGAGTCTGGCTGTTGGTGAAATACCTGCTGCTTCTCTCAATTTCAGTCTGCACAATTCTCTGAAGTCTCGTCCAGATTGAACCAGATGTGAATATCTTCCCATCAAATTACCATTTGTGAGCAGTAGTCAGCGAGTGATTCATTACACCCCAAGGCTGGGATGTGCGTGCTCCTCCTGTTGCTAGGCAATGCCATGTCTGAGCACAGTTACCCCGTAACAGTGAGATTGCCCGTCCCCCATTTAGTTTTCTTTGAGCTGATAAAGTTTATATATGGTGTTTTTTGTTTTTTAAATCTGTACATCACCAAGATTTAGACACCCCCACCTCTCCATTTCCCAAAGCATACCTTTTTAAAGTGAACCAAGACTAAGTACAGATCCTTTTTGTGATTGTGGGTGGTTAGATGTCTGGGGTTGATTACTCATGGGAGGGGGGATTACGGCCAAGTGTCTAAGATAAGGGAATGGAAGGATGTTGGGAGTGGTTCTGGAGACATACTAGGTGGTCGGTAGGGGGTGGCTGTGAGGGAGCCAGGCAGAAGGGTGACCGAGGACAGCTGTGAGTACCAGATAAGGTTAACTGAGGCCAGGAGAGGACTCTGCACGGTACACCCCAGGGCCTTTGTGCTGTGGGACACTAAGGGACACTTCTTAGTCTTAGAGGTTTACCTTTCAGTTAGAAGTTAACCCACAGTGTGTAGATTTTTCTTTTTTTATCAGTAGTACATCATAATGAGTGATGACTATTTCTTTTGTGACAGAAAGCCTGCCAGTAGTCACTACTCAGCATATACCCTAACAAATTTATTTATTATTCTATAATGTTTTTTGGGGGCAACAGAAGCTAATAAAAAGTTTTTGTCTTGATAGCACCTCCTCCCAACCCCATTAAAAAAGGGTGGTTTAAATATGAGAGAATCAGACCTCATTGAATATATAATTGTTTAACCAAAAGGTGCAGAACCCAAGATCAGATCCAGCATAGGCACAGGTAAATCTTTTACCACCACACGTTTACCTTTACACGTGGAATGTTTTTCTATGAGAGACTTGTTACACACAAAGTTTGGTAACTTGATATTAAATCTTAAAACAGCATTCAGTTTTTCTAATCACGTCTGAAGCATTCTAAGTTCAGTTAAATGCCAGTAGTGCATTTTACTTATTTAAAAAAGGAAAAGTAAAATAGGAAAAATCCTGTATATAAAATTTTTTTAAAAGACGGGGTCTTGCTGTGTTGCCCAGGCTGAAGTGCAGTAGCTATTCATAGGCTTAATCCTGCTAATGATCAGCATGGGAGTTTTGACCTTCTCCGTTTCCACCCTGGGCTGATTCAACCCTCCTTAGGCAACCTGGTGGTCCCCTGCTCTTGGGAGGTCACCACATTGATGCTAAATTTAGCATGGACACCTGATTGGTATAGCACACGGCCGCCCAGAACTCCTGGGCTCAAGCAATAATACTCCTGCCTCAATGAGCTGGGACTACAGGTGTGTGCCCAGCATAAATTTTTGGAGAAGTCAAAAAACATTCCTGGAGGCAATAGTATGAAACTATTCATTTATAAATAAAGTTGACAAATAGAATAATTCAAAGTTGTTGAATATTACTATAATTCAGTTATATTATGGGGCAAATACTTGTACATGGGCCTGGGAATTTAATTGTTTTTGAGTGATCTGAGGTTCATTTAACAGCCTAAGGAATAAACTTGTTTTAATTGAGGTAATTTGAGGTGAAATTTATATACAGTCAAATGCTCTTGTCTTAAGTGTACAGTCCATTGAATTTTGACAGATGTGTGCATAGTATGTCCATTCTTCCAGTTGAGATGTAGACTATTTCCATCATCCAGAAAGTTCCCTCATGGTCCTTCTAGTCAGTGTCCACCCCCATAGGCGACCACTGTTCTGATTTCTATCGTCATAGATTAGTTTTTGTCTCTGTTGAACTTTATATAAATGTCATTACATAATATGCTTTTTAAAAATCTGGCTTCTTTCATGAAACAATATTTGTGGGATCCATTCATGCTATCAGTGGCCACTTAAATTTTTTGTATCAATATGCCACAATTTGTCTATCCATTCGCCTCTTGATGGACATTTGGATTGTTTCCAGTTTTTGCCATTGTGTTAAAAGCTGCCACAGACATTCTGTGCAGGTGCGTCTCTGGAATCTGTTCTCTTTTGTCTCAGGTAATACCTAGGCGTGAAATTTCAGAGTTAGACAGTATTTGCAGTTTAATTTTATAAGGAACTACCAAAATGATTTCCAAAGAGCTCATATTATTTTACACCCTATTAGCAATGTATGAGAGTTTTCATTCTGCCCCATTCTTGCTTATATTTGATTGTGTTGATCTTGTGAATTTTAGCTATTCTAGTAGGTTTGAAGTCGTATTCCATTGTGGTCTTGATTATTAATAGCATTTCTATGGTTACTGATAATAATAACCACATTTTTGTGTGCTTATTGGTTATTCATATATCTTCATTTTTAAAGTGTCCAAATTTTTGTCCATTTTGATTGGGTTGTCTTTTTTTATTATTCATTTGTAAATTACTTATGTATTCTGGATAAAGTTATTTTTCAGATATGTGTATTGTGAATATTTGCTCCCAGGCTGTGGTTTGCCTTTTCATGTTCTTAACATTGTTTTATGATGAGCAGACATTTTTAATTTTGATGTAGACCAATCTATATAATTTATTTCACTTATAGTTAAGAATTTTTTTTATATTAAGGAATATTTACCTACCCTTTGGTCACAGATAGTCTTATATCTTTTTCTAGCAATTTTGTAGACTTTGCTCTTATATTTAGGTCTGTGATCTCTCTGGAGTTAATTGTTGTGTTTGTATGAGGTAGAGAGAGAGTTTTTTCCCACGTGTCTGTCCAGTTACTCCACTACCATTTTTGAAAAGATTGTCTTCATCGAAATGTCTTGTGGCCTTTATTGAAATCAGTTGACTACTTATACGTGGGCCAGTTTTGTTTCATTAATCTATTTGTCTATCCCATGTTGTCTTACTTACTGTAGTTTTATAGTAAGACTTGAATTGGGCAGTGTAAATTCTCCAACTTTGGCTTTCTTCTTTTTTTCCCCCCCAGGATTGCTTGAGCTATTTTAGGTCCTTTGTATTTCTGTGTAAATTTTTGGATCAGTTTGTCAGTTTTTACCACCTCTCTCACCAGAAAAAAAAAGGCTTTATATTAGGAGTATATTGAAGCTGTAGATCAGTTTTGAGAAAATAAGTATCTTACCCATCCAGTTATCTTTAGCTCCTTTCAGCAATGTTTTATAGTTTTCAGTACAGTTATTACATTTATTTTATTAAATTTGATCCTAAATATTTAATATTTTGATTGTATTGAGCTGTGCACTTAAAAATTTATTTTCTAATTGTTTGCTAGTATATAGAAAAATAAATGATTTTTTAAAATACAGATGTTATATCTTGCTACCCTACAACGGTGTTGAATTCACTTATTAGCTCTAGAAGCTCGCCCATTTTTTGTGGTTTCTTAGGATTTTCTACAGTTAAAATCATATTGTTTGTGGCTAGAGACAGTTTTCCTTGATGTATAATCTTTTTGCCTTTTATTCTCTTCCTTATTGTACTGGCTAGATCTTCTAGAACAGTGTTGAACAGAAGTGGTAAGAAAGCAGATGTTCTGGCCTTGCTTGCTTGCTTCCGAGGAAAGCATTCAGTATGTCGCATTAAGTATGATGCTAGCTGTGAAATTGAGGAAAGTCCCTTCTATTCTTGGTTTATCATGAATGAGTTTTGAGTTTTGTTATAGGCCTTTTCTGCATCTGCTGAGATGATTGTATATCGGTTATATTTATTTCATTAGTGGAGGAATTACATGGATTCAATTTTGAATGATGCATCCTTGTGTTCCTAGGATAAGCCCCTTGTGGTCATGATGTGTTATCCTTTTTGTATATTGCTGGATTCTGTATGGCATTATTTTAAGATTTTTTTTCTATGTTCATGAGAAAAATTGATCAGTAATTTTCTTGTAGATCAGGTTTTTGGTAACAGTATAATACTTCTCATTTAAAATAATTTGGGAAGTATTCTTTCTTCCTCTATTTTCTGAATGAGTTAATGTAAAATTAGCATTTTTTCTTATATATTTGATATGATTCACCAGCAAAACCATCTCTGCCTGGAATTTTCCTTGTGGAAGGTTTTAAATTACAAAATCAATTTCTTTAGCAGATATTGGATGATTTTTATTTTCTGCTTGTTATGTGTAGGTTTTGGTAATTTGTGTTTTAAAAGGAATTTGTTCATTTTATGTAAGTTGTAAAATCTTTTAACAAAAATGTTCATAATTCCTCATTATGTTTTTAACATCGGTGAAATCGATTCATACTGCCATTTTCATTCCTGGTGTTGGTGATTTGTGTTTTCTCCTTTTTTTTTTTTCTTCTTAATCTAGTTATTTCAGGGAATCAAGCCTTGGGTTTGTTGATTTTTTGTTTTCTGTTATCTATTTCATTGATTTCTACTCTTCATTATTTCTTTCCTTCTATTTATTTTGTCTTTTACTTGCTCTTCTTTTTTCATCATCTTAAGGTGACACTGATTTTAAACCTTTCTTCTTTTTTAATATAAGCATAAATTTATAAATTCTCCCTTAAGCCCTGCCTTAACTATTAATATATATCACATTTTTTTTTTTTTTTT